ACCTTGCCCCCGAAGGTGGTTAAGAGAATCCTGGCTCTCGAATTCGTGGAAATGTCAGAGCTAAGGGGGGATATCTGGTCCGAGTACTCGACGGCGTCTGACCCCCACGTGACTCCACGCCATTCTGCCAAACCCCAGGTGAAGAGCATTAAGACGTGGCTAGAGTGCTACGCCAGGATGGCTTCAATCCTGGTGACACGTTTTCCGGAGAAGGCCCCAGAACTCTGGGCTTACCAGTCGACCATCCTCAAAGCGGCCCACAACTACAAAGGGTCAAATTGGGTCGCCTTCACCGTCAATTTCAGAGGGAAATGTTGGTCAGAAGAGACCTGAACTGGTATGCCACGAACACCCAGCTCTACAACGATGCATTCACAGGAAGGGCCAGGACCACCCCCCGCTGCCCACACTGCCTCTCCGAGGATCACGGTGGGGCCAGCTGTCCCCATAATCTGAACCCACCGATCTTGGGCTGGCTCGAGTCTCCGATGCCCATCCAATGGGTGCAGCCATCCCAGTTTCAACCCTCACCAGCCGCTGCCAAGAGGCTGGCTCCTGCCCAAGAGGTCTACCGCAACTACAACATGAACTGCTGCCGCTACGCCCACGTATGCTCTGAGTGCGGGGAAGACCACGTGGTACCGAGCTGCCCGTCGCCACGCCAATTCCCAGACCGCGGGCCCGCTTCACGGGGCCGCCCTTCGTAACGGGTCCGTCAGAACCAGGCACACCCTTATCTACCTGCCCCGGGTAGCAGCGCGCCTGAACAGCCGCAGCCGGACCTGTGAACTCTGCCAGACGAACTTGCGATAGCATTATAGCTAGGTGTATGTGTTTGTAGCTCGTACGGCATGTGTATTATTCCTTGCCCCGATTCCTATTATTGTGTATTTGTGGCGCGGTTCCACCCGGGCGGGCGCTCTACTTCTGTTACATCTCCCCACAGAGTCAAGGGAACTCTATTCATACACGGCTGATCTCCTGACCCTCGACCTCTGCCAATGTCTTGCCCCTACGGTGTGCTCCCGGTTGGGTAGGGTGCAGGCTCCATTCATCTGCCAGGCCTGGGAGGCCGCCCTGGCAGGACACCCCGATAGGGCGTTCGCCCGCTATGTCACCAGGGGCATTCGCGAATGTTTCAGGATCGGCTTCCACTGCTCTCGGCCGCTCCGCTCCACAGCTCGCAATATGCTCTCGGCCTACATGCACCCGGAGGTCATCCAGGCCTACCTCGATAAGGAATGTGCCGCTGGCCGCATGCTCGGCCCATTCTCAGCCCAAGCCCTTGGCATCCTCCCTCCGCTGCACGTTAACCGCTTTGGGGTTATCCGGAAAGGCCATGATACCGGCAAGTGGCGCCTGATCACGGACCTATCATACCCACCGGGTCTAAGTGTCAATGATGGCATAGATCCGGAGCTCTGCTCGCTCACCTACACGTCCGTCGATGCCGTAGCCGAGGTAGCAGTCAGCTACCCCCTGGGCGCCCTACTCGCCAAGGTCGATATCGAATCGGCCTACAGGCTGATCCCCGTGCACCCCTCGGACCGCCCGTTGCAGGCCATGGAATGGAAGGGGGCCGTTTACGTGGATCCCATGCTACCTTTTGGGCTCCGTTCGGCCCCCAAAATATTCAACACGGTGGCCGACGGCCTCGAGTGGTACCTTCGCAGCTGTGGGATTCGTCTTGTCGCCCATTACTTGGATGACTTTATCGTCATCGGCCCGCCACGCTCATCGGAATGCGCGGATGCGTTGGCCACGCTGGACGACGTCTGCTCCCAGCTTGGGATCCCACTCGCGCAGCACAAACGAGACGGCCCAACCACCTGTCTCACATTTCTCGGCATTGAGGTGGACACGGAAGCCGCCGAGCTCCGCCTCCCCCAGGACAAGCTGGAGCGCCTCCGATCCCTTCTCGAGGACCGGGGCGATAGGAAAGCGTGTGGGATGAGAGAGCTCGAATCCCTGGTGGGGGTACTCAACCACACCTGCAAAGTGGTACGCTCAGGTCGGACCTTCCTGCGCCGACATGTTGGACCTCGTCAAAGGTAATCACCACCCCCTACGCCCCCATCCGATCAGACTGAACAGGTCGTTCCGCTCCGACCTGACTTGGTGGAGGCTGTTTGCAGCTAGATGGAACGGAGTCTCCTGCCTTCACCCCTCTTCTAACCTACCCAGGCTGTAGATGGCATCCGACGCCTCGGGTTCGTGGGGGTGCGGTGCTGGTACGGCACTCATTGGTTCCAGCTGCAGTGGAACACCCAGTCGGCCGCACTCCCCTATTATGGTAAAGGAGCTGCTTCTGGTGGTCCTAGCCTGCGCTGTCTGGGGCCAGTCGTGGTCCGGCTGCCGTGTCACCGTCCAGTGCGACAACCAGGCGGTGGTAGTGTGCCTGCGGTCACGTACCTGCCTCGATCACCACATAATGCATATGTTGCGCACCTTGGCTTTCATAGAGGCCTCGAGTTCCTTTGCTCTGTGTCCGCAGTATATAAGTACCACAGACAATCACCTAGCGGACGACTTATCGCGTAACTGTCTCTCCTCATTTTTGTCGAAGGTCCCGGACGCCGACCGCAGAGAGGCCTCCCTCCCCGGTCCACTGGTGGAACTCCTCCTGGACCCCACTCTCAACTGGACATCACTGCAATGGCTCCAGCGGTTCAGCGCTACTTTCAAGACGGGCTGGCACCATCCATGCGCCGAACCTACACTCGTGATGAGGAAGTTCAGCACCTTCTGTGAGTGCTACCACATCACCGACCCCTTTCCCGTCTCCGAGTTTCTCCTTTGCGCATTCGCTTATATGGCCGACAGCGGCCTCACGCCGCAAACAGTGAAGTCGTACCTGTCGGCCATAAGGAACACGCAGCTCTCACTGGGCCTCCCGGACCCCAGGGAACAGTCATCCCTCCCCATGTTGAAGCGAGTGCAGGCGGGCATCAGTAGGGCACGACTGGGGTGCGCCCACCCCTCGAGAGTCCGGCAGCCGCCCTGCTCTGCCGTATCAAGCACAAACTCGAGAGGATGTCCCACCCAGAGCGTATCGTCCTATGGGCCATCTGTTGTGAGGCTTTCTTCGGTTTCTGCCACTTGGGGGAACTGTTGCTACCGTCACCGGGGAGTTTCAACCCGCGGCTGCACCTGGACTGGGGTGACATGGCATTCGACAATCCCCAGGCCCCCCGGATGGTCAAATTCCACCTCAAGCAATCGAAGACCGACCAGTTTGGCGGTGGGGTGGATATCATAGTGGGGAGGACAGACGCGATTTGTGCCCCGTGAGCGCACATTGGCATACGTCGCAGCACGGGGCGACCACCAGGGACCATTTTTTCTGTCATCGTCGATGTCGCCCCTCACCAAGCCAACCTTCATAGCAGCTCAGGAAGATCCTGATGGCGCTGGGCCTCCCGGACGTCAACTATGCGGGCCATAGCTTCCGGATTGGGGCGGCAACGTCAGCAGCTCTCGCCGGGGTGGAAGAATCGACAATCCAACTGTTGGGACGCTGGCAGAGGCACGGCCTTCTTACGCTACATCAGGACCCCCTGTGAGAGACTAGCTGCGAGCAACCATCGCAGCCGATGGCGGACCCTCGTAGCTAGGCGGTTTAGCCGAGACTCATAGCTAGTTAGGTTTCTTGAGATAGCTCGGTTTATACTGTACGGTGTCAAAAACAATACATTTGATATAGACATAAGGGTGAAAATAGCGCAGGCGTTGGTAAGCGGCTTTGGGGCCACGCCATGCATTCTCTACATAGCTACTCCCTTGGGGGAGCATACTAGCCGGCGCCCGCTGCCGTCTATCCTTGGGGGGACTCGCCCCTAAATGCAGCATAGGGGCTCACAGCTATGCTCCCCCAGCATCAGGCCGCATGCCATGGGAGTGCCCCGCAGCCTAAACACGTGCTCCGCCCACAGAGCGTGAGGTCACACGGTTAGCCCATGACCAGACGGGCCTGCTCGAACCAGCACGTGGCACCACGTGAGATCACGTGGCCGGGCCAGGTATCCGTCGCTACTCCATCGATGGGCGCACGTGGGCTGGGCCGGGCCCCCCGACATGACCGGGGACACTCCCGCCGTGTCTGTCTCCTCCAAATATTAGAATGGGCGAGCCCGAGTTAAAGTAGTGTTAGTGTAGATAAGAATGGGCCTCGGGGCTCTTGATAAAGGATAAACCGAGAATTCATTAAGAAAACATGAAGCCTCCGATTGAGCCCACGCACACATACCTTCAGTCTTATTCACAGTAGTAACATCAAAGCCATACCCGCATACTCAAAACGAAAAGCACTAAAGTGCAAACCTTCGGCGAACTGCGAATGCACGGTACCACAAATTGATGGGCTGGGCTTTTAGTATGCCTTTACTCGTGGTCTCCCGCGCGGAGAGTCTGACACGGACTAGCTACAGTTGTAGATAGCATGCGGGAGACGATACACACCCTTCGTTGTGACTTCTTGTGCCTTAAAGATACACAAGCGAGCGGACGCAGTCGAGGTAAGCCTGTGCAAATTGCATATAGGCTTGTTCACATGCTTTTCACGCCATAACTTTTGAACGCAGTCGTTATATGAAAATCAGTTTCTTTAAAATGAAGCCAGTGAAGCCATGAACCCTTTTGTTGTCTCGTTGCGCGTAGTCGCGCGTAGTCGCAGAAAACGTGGTAACAGACAGACAGCACTTACAACCAAGTAACGCAACCCTCGCTGTGCATGCAAAAGGTAGCGGGCATACATACGTGAGGATCTATGCAATGATCGAGAAGCAAACACATGACTATTGTGCAGTGTTACGCAATATCTGCACACATGCTGATTCAAAACTCACAAGGTAGGCCCTCTTTCATCCAGGGGCATGTGAGGGTCTGGGAACAAGACTACTCACCACAGTGTTTTGACAACCAACAGAGTTTACAAATTGTAACCCATGGCTTGTAGGTGACTAACACATACACCTAATGTACATGGAAAAAGGGTAGTTTTACCTTTGAACCATATCTTCATCACTTAGACCTGCAAAAGCCTTTGTAGCTTTGTAGTGGTTGTGACTCAGTAGTCTGGAGCCATCCATAAGACTGAGTTCACGATCTTGCAACAGCCTGAGTAGATACACACACAATCATTGCTAGCTTTTATGTAGGGAAACATGCTTCAGTTACTGCCTCAACAAAAGTGTACAACACAGTATCCATTATAACATGAAAAGCACTGAAGTGCAAACCCTCGGCGCATTGTGACGTGCACGCGTAAGCAAAAGCATGCACCGTACCACTAATTGATGGGCGGGGTTTAGTTTTAGCTGTTACTCCTGGTCTCTTGCCAGCTCGTGCAGAGTCCATCCACACCCTGCGTTGCATCTTCTGGTGCCTTCGAGATACGCAGAGCACTCAGACCGTGGTAAGCCGTTGTGTATTTCCATATTGGCTTTTTCGGGCTCTAGCTTTGCAACGGAGCAGTTTCAGAGAAAACCGTTCGAAAGTTCTGACCTTCATTGCCTGTTAAGTAGGTCATATCCTTTGTGAGACGAACAAACACTCGAGAAGTGAGATGTAGAGTAACAGACAGACACACACACACACAGACCCAACTACCGTACCCTCGCTGCGCATGCGCGCCGAGGGTAATGAAAAGCACTACAGTGCAAACCCTCGGTGAACTGCGCATGCGCGGTACTGCTAATTGATGGGCTGGGCTATTTCGTGGTGGTCTCTCGCTAGCACGGAGAGTCTGACACGGGCTAGCTAGAGTAGTAGATAGCATGCTGCAGTCGATACACGCCCTTCATTGTGACTTCGTGCCTTCAAGATACACTGAGCAATCGGACTAGGTCAAATTAGCATATATATAACCGCATGCACATTTTCCACAGCGATAAAAATGGCCGACTACGCATTAGCCGTACAATGCTGGAAACGCTCTAGCTTTGCATTGGAGCATTTTCAGAGAAAACCGTTTGAATCTTCTGACCTTCATTGCCCATTAAGTAAGTCGTATCGTTTGTGAGACGAAAAAACATTGGAGAAGTGAGATCTAGAGTAACACACACACAGACCCAACTACAGTACCCACGCTGCGCATGCGCGCCGAGGGTAATAATGTTGCCAACCTCTTTAGTACAGAGAGTGTTCCAGGATGAAGCCGGTGTACTCCATCAAGTAAGGCCAGTTTCCCCTCCCGTGCTGCATTAACCAGTGGAGATGTTCTCCAGGTGGTGTCTCCATTGGGCAGCGTGGAGCGCTGCTGCAATAGCTCACGAGATGTCATGTCCTGTTATGATACACCAACTTTGTACTTCAACCAAGGCAAGCATGCAAGTATACATACAAAGAGAAAGGGACATGCATAACGTTACCTGATATAACACAACAGTTTCAACCTCATATCCCAAAAGCGAGGCAAACCGCTTAACGAGTGTCTCCTTCCCAGTTCCCTAAAGAAAGAAACCACGGTTGGCACAAACACACACTACCACGGCAAATGTACAGACTTCCAAAGGCAAAGTAGTGTAAACGTGTTTGACATCTTTCTACACACACGCAAGAAACACAGTCAAACGTGTGGCCATCTACACGAAACAAACCATAAGTAAGCACAGTTAATTTTTGTATCAACTTTATAGTGGCAAAAATCACAACACACTCACTGCTGGAAGCCTACAGCGGCAGCAAGTCCCTTTATGTGCAGCAAACAAAAACAAGGGATTTTTATTGTTTGTGAATAACTGTCTGTTCAGTAATGAATGTGTCCGTTTGCATTCGCATGCATACATTTGGTTGTAATCGTTTACACACATTATTTAAACACCGACATGCATCTGTACACATTTTAAGCACTGGATCAGGACACATACATTTTGTTCAAAGCCTTCGAGATGTCTACTCTATACACACCTTTCCTCCAACCAAACAGAAATCACCAGTCTTGTGGCTCTGGATCATTCTAGCCAGGATATCCTCATGCACTTCAGTAGGAACATAATCACTCTCTTCTATCAAACTCTGCTCTTGGCCATTAGTAGTGACCCCATCAGGATGTGGGCCACAAGGCACGAGTAAGGATGACACACCATCAGACTTGTCACCGAATACGTTGCTTTTACTAGGACTAGTTCCGTGTAACTCTACTTCTATTTTTCCCTGAGAAGTCCGAGGCACTAAACTGTGGATATGTATTTTGTTGGTTGTCTCCTTTACTTCAAACTTCTGCAAAAAAAACAAACAGCTATGCCAACAGTTTCACAGGGAGTGGCAGAGTCGCAAAGATAAATAGGATGAGGAGAACAGAGTAAAGCGTATACATAAACCATTATGATGCACATACTAGAGGAATGCAACGCATATTTGGTGAGCGAAGCGAGCATTTCAATATTTCGCATGTTGTAGCGCATATTTAAAATCACGTAAACATTACGGTATGTTGGTCCGTGGGTCCGTTCACCGTGACAGATATATACATACATGGAAAAATTCCGCATTCAGACGCCTAGGTGGGCTTGCTTAGCTCACCAGTAAAAAACAAATAGCTATCACTATCACCTTTATAATGTACACATACCTCCACGGTGTCCCTGAAGGTTTTCATTGTACCCAAAAGATCAGCTGGATATATCTTCAGCAGCAGCTCCTCTACACTAATTCCAGGCATATCGGACTGTACATAGAGAAAAGCCCCATATCACACATCTAGGGCACTATGGCTTTCAGGCATGCAAGCAGTATCAGTACACACTCAAATGAACTTACCAGAATCTCAAGAACATGATGCAGCTGTTGTGAGATATCTACTGGACCTCCAGGGAGAGTGGTGGACACAGTTCGGAGAGTCAACACAAACTGAACCAACGATGATAGGCTGGGAAATATGAAAATAGACAAGAAATTATATGAAACTAATCAAGCTAGATCGTAAAAAAAAAGGCGTGCTAACACAAAAGCTGATCAAACACACGTAGGGCAGCAATGACAATTGAGGGTTTAACTTCAATCTACATATATACTTGCAATACCAAGCATAATGAAGCTCACTTTCTGTGTGAAATGTCAGGGTACTGCAGGCTGAGCAGGTCAGAGAGCTCCTGGTAGTTCAGTGGCTGAATACTGCGAGCTTGGAACCGCGATCTCAGTGGTGGATCTAGCGGGTTCCCCCTGAGAAGGTTTAAAAGAGCACAATTGTTACCAATTGTGTACTTGGTTTACAGAAATGATGGTTAGTTAAGAAGCAGTAGAGAGGAACTCGAAGTCAGTCTGGTCGACCGACACAAAAAAGTTCAGCGGCAACCTTTGTTGCTTTATTTCTAGCCATGACGTGGAACGCCGGGGTGGCAGAGGCTCCACACAATCACGATAAACAACACCATTGCAAATGAGGAAGCAATATCATGTAGTTTGACGTGTACAAATTGTGCAGGTAAGGTAACCCCTACACATCACTCGTTAAAAGGATGTTCCGAGCACAACGCAATGCCACTTATTCTATATTCAACACATTTTCAAGCGCAAGATACAAACTTCAAACATTTGTCAACATGCACATGCAGAAAAAGTCAGCAACAAACATTTCGCGATTTCAACAGTTATCAGATCCGGGGTATGTTTTACCTTCGCTGATAATTAGGCTTAAATAGCAGGTTTCTGACTGTACTTTTTTAAAGCCAATGATCAACACCTCCCAGTTGCCTTCGCATGGTGTTTGTTGTCAAACAAAGCTCTTGGAAAAGTGGAGTAAACTTACAACGATGGTATAGCTGGTTACTTGTGTATAGTTCATGAGAGGAGAAGGAGACAAGAGAGGGGAAAGAGGTGAGAGGCGGATTTGAAAATAAGGTATGAAAGCAGCAAGTGTTGTATACTACATTTCTGCCAGAAAAATTTCTTTGGTGCAGCATGTATACCTGTAAGGAGGAACAGGTGCTCCTATTGCAATGACACGGAATCTCTCACTGGCCCTGAGCAAATTCCACTCCCTTGCCATCTCCTCACCATCATACTGCCACCAGACACAATGTAATATAAACGGGGAAAAGTGTTTGTGTGCATTACGCACCTCTACGAGGCGGTCATATCTCTGTGGTGCCACAATGAGCCGCCCATCATCGAGTTGCATCTCTCTGTTCTCCAGGAGATTGTTGAGGACTGGCAGCACATTCCTCTCTGCCTTCTCCACTCCCTCCAGCACCAATACACGGCCTTCCAGAGCTGATTCCACAGCTGGCTAACAGAAAATTTAAGAACATACAAAAGAAAGCTTACCACGTAAATACATACATAGCACACTTTAAAACACAAAAGATAAGGTTACAAGCAGGGTAACACACAAAAGTCTAGTTTTGTACGTAGTAGCTGCATATCTAGGAGGAGGAATTTGGATACCTTGCCAGATCTATTGATACAAACGCTCATACAATGAGACTTTTGGATAGTATTACCATCATAAAACCAGGAATATGTGTGCCATTACACCCTTGAGGACCTCCGAAAGTAAGTGCAAGCCAAGCTAGGGAAAGGCAATTCAGTCCAGTCCTCATGTGTTCCACACATGGGGTGAACACATTTGTCTGTGTGCGAATGCATTCTGGCTCTTTGAACCTTGTGTTGGGGTGGGTACTGTATTTAAACAAAGATGGTCATCACCCTTGTAAGAGAACAAAATCAATACCTGGTTCACATAGTGGACAGTCCCAGCCACAATCTCCCTCCTCTGCTTGAGGTCAGTCTCAGTCGTGTCTCGGGAGAGACTGACATACTCCATCTCCCTCCGAGTCAGCTCACAGTAGGCAAAGGCCAGTCGTCTTGGGAGTGAGCCTGGTGGACCCACAAGGAACATGTCCTGGCCGAGAGCATCCTGTAAACATCATTCAAACAGCACTCAATGGTACATAAAAAATGACACACAAAAAGTTAAATGGCACACCTTCTGAGCCATCCATTGCATATGACTCAACCAGCTCTGAGAGTGAGAAATATTGCACGCTGCAAACAATAGTCAACATACACGTTGCACATAAATCACATAAGGTCCTTAACTACTGTCCCCGTCTCAAATAATTTTTTTGCCAAAGTTTCACCACCATAACTATGCAGTCTTAGCTATATACATATTATAGTGTTTGGGACCGGCTACCGTTGGAGTTAACTCGTTGCACGCGTTTATTGCGTACACCCGCAACGTTTTCTACGCGGAATTATTTTTAAATCGCGCGCGCGCTGCGCACACACCCATTTATTACGTAATTTACGTGGCCACTAAAGATTAACGGCCATTATACTGGCCTTCCGCGCGCAACAACTAGTTAAAGTTGTCAATATTCTGCACCTAAAGAGTCCTAGACCACAAACCCTCGGTGCCCTCAAACACCTTTACACATGTGAGGTACAGCTAATCAATGGACTGGTCTATATATGCATTGTCAATTGCCTAGTACTGACCACCTTCATTGTTGTCACATGCACATACAATGGACTGGGGTATGGGTAGCTTGCAGAGAGTCTGACACTTGATAGAAGACAGCATGCAGGACACAATACATGCCCTCCTTTGTGACTTGTTGTGCCTCCAGTACACAGAACATGCCAGTGGTGATTCACACGCAACAACTTTCAAACACAGTACTTATATATATGCATGCATGTGCTCATTTGCTAGCATAATATTTGGCAAGGGTTTTGCATGCATATGCCACTTGGGGTGTTTACTCCGAGTCCCTATCATCAAAATAACAACGAAAACATACCATAGTTTTGAGGAACCAGCTCTTTTCTCTTTGGGTGAGAGAGCCTCACTCTTGTTTTGCCTATTCTTAACCAGCCTCCTGTGAGTAAACATAGCTATAATCGACAGTTATCCTAAAGCACAATACTCAAGTTGTCAGAAGAGTAACTACATCATAGTTAGATGACATGTCATCTAAGAGGCTGAGGCCCTGGGGCCGTGGTGTTCTGACCGCAGCGTGGCTGACCGCAGCGTGGTTGCTACTACAGTGCCTGAGGCTTCCTAAATTGTGTGGTTATGTGACTCGTCGTCCAGCCTAACAGGGGTGTCAATCTGGCGCTGTGGCTCTAAAATCAGTGCCAAGCGCAATTTTAAAGTGCCAGACAGAGAAAATGAAGCTTGCCTACGCGTCTTTGCGCACGTGCGAACATGGTATTACATTGTTTGCTGAACTTTGAACTGAAGCAATTGGGTGTAGCGCCAAGGCCATCCCTGGCGCCAGGTCTTTGGCACCAGAGATTTCCAGGTTGACACCCCTGGGCTCAACTTGCTGTCAAATCACAAAAACCCACCATTAACAGGAGGAATGCCCTAATTTACACTGCTGTAGTTAACAAAATGCCTAACAAGCTCGTGGTCTTTTACAAACTTACTCCAATAAGTATATACTATCATGGTGGTTTTTAGGCTGCTATTGGTTAGGTATGCAACCTCAACCTCACATCTATTAACGATCCTTTCCTACAACAGTGGATCAAGTCAAGTTGATGGATCAAGTACTCACGCAGCCCACTACGACCCCTCGTCCTAAAGCACTAGAAACGCCAGTGCATTATGATGATGAGTGCCTGTCCCTCACTTGCTGACGCAACTCCAGCAACTAACCTTCACTCCCAACATAACTGGACTTGCGGCGACATGCATAGGCAGGACACAGGCTGGCACGGGCTGGAAGTCCACCACACCAGAGCCAGGAGACCATCACTCTCGACCTCTCTAAGGTAGCCCCGGCCCGACCACGTGGACATACACCCACGATTTTCTACCACTTGTCGGAGAAAACTTTCGCGTTTCATCGATGTCCGGTCACAAAATTTCGCGGGCCCCCGACATTTTTCTCCCTCGCGCGGTAGTTGAACGCATGCGTAATTTCGCATGCTGGAGGAGTCAAATATGTTTGACACCAGTTCATGGGGGTATCTGGTTCCGGCAGCCTGGCTGGGATTTGGGTGCTCGTGCCCTTCCTTCAAATTGCAATTGCTGATGATCTCTCTATCTGATTGCATTAGGCCAGATCTATATAGCTATATGAGACCTATCCAAAAAATGAATGGCATCAGCTGCAAAGCATATATTGCAATAATTATACTAGGTTGCTTTGGGGTTAATTCTAGAGTATACGTAGCTACAAGAAAACCTGCAGTTGTGTTCATTTCTAGAACATTAGGTAGTTTTGCTAACTTGCTAACTCCTGAGCTTTTCAAGCCCATGAAATTAATTTATTCAAAGTGGATACACACTGGTAGCTAGAAAACAAACTTTGCAATATCCAAAATACTAAAAACTACGATAGTCTGCGATTTTCCAGATGCAAAATGATCTTTTGCAGTAACAGTTTTGTCGCCCACCCGATCACAAGGAGGTTGGAAATGAGTGGAGTGCCAACAAAGAGAATTTCCAGTGTAGCAGTACTGACTGAGAGATCCTTTCTCCAGGTGGTGAGTGCCACATGAAGGATTCCCAGAACCATAACATGATAGCTGAGTGAAAGGTTGGCCAGTACAGACTTACAAGGCCTCAAGTAAGAAAGTGAAAATGACACCAAGATGAGAATCATGCCAGAAAAGACAGGGAGACTGTACTGATCAATGGGGAATAGTACAAAGAACAGTATATAGGTGCCATAAGCAAAAAGAGGGTACACAAAACCATCAATCATGCTCAATCCAGCTAGTGCTCTGTAATCTTTTGTACCATTGAGACCATCTTTAAAGCAACTGTGGAGAGCTTCAGCAAATGCAGTAATGGCCAGATGTTTCCTATTACTGATGCATTGTGAAAAGAAGCGATACATTCTTGTAGGATACAATAACAGAATCAGTGATGGAGTGAGTACCAGAATAGGAAACAAACCAAACACTACTGAGAGATATATCAAATGAGCTTGGCCAAGCCACACGACTGTGGGATCGGAAAACACACGGTACTCTTCTGACCAATCCATTGTATACACTGGGTTATAAATAGTAGAAGAGACTAAAGCA